AGCTATTGGGGAGGGGGACACGCAGATCTGTCCTTGCAGAGGAGGGAGAGCTTGTAACTGAATAAAACTTGGTCTTAAAGGTGCCACTGGACTGTTTTGGGGCTGGGGCGGGGCTCTGCAACTTACCTGGCTGCTTCTTGCTCTGACTGAGGGCTGCTGGGAGCAGAGGGTGGGGCTTGTTGCATGTGCCCGCCCCCTGGGCTCTTTACTGCTGGAGCTCCGCTCCTGTGCGTTCCTGCAGGAAATGACCCCTGGTTATTTATATCATCACCACCACCACCACCACCATCAATAATAATAATAATAATAATAATAATAATAATAATAATAATAAAAAATTTGGTTTATTAATTGCCCTATCCCTGCTAGGCAGGGCTCTGAGCGATTTACAGCCACAAAACAAATGTAGAGGCCGTTCACATTCTAATCACAAGCAGAATTATAATACAGGGTTCAGAACCGGATTTAAAAAGTCCAAGATGGCATCTCTAGAATTCGTATCCCAGTCCTGGACCTCCGGGCAGGGGGGAGGAAGTGCAAGCTCAGAGTGGGAGGGGGGTGGAGAGAAGAGGGCGCCGGCTGCAATGGAGAACTGTTGCTGTCCTCGGTCTGGCGGAACGTCTCTGCCTTACAGGCCTTGCGGAATTGCATCGGGTCCTGCAGGGGCCCTGATGGTATTAGGCAGAGAGTTTCACCAGGTTGGGGCCAGGAGCGAAAAGGCCCCGGCCCTGGTCTTTGGGGCCAGGGATCACCTGCAGGTCGTTACCTGCAAAGCGCAGTCGCCTGCCTTTCTTCAGAGAAGCCTTCAAGAGAGCATTATTTAAAATCACAGTAAAGCCAACATTGTGCCGTCTCTCGCACCCAGCAACAGACTTGATCTGTTTTTCACTGGACACCCTGTGTAACGTCTCACACCCTGTAATGTATCAAGCTCCGACCGCGTGCGCGGCTTGGTCACCACATGGTCATGCGAAGCGGCCGAGCTTCACTCTCAGGAACAATGGGCCCAGCGGATCCTAGCCCGCTCCAATCGGAGGGCTAGGCTCCAGGCCGAGAGCCTATGGAACTCTTGACCACTGTAAATAACCTATAACTTGTGTGGGGGTGTGTTTTGGGTGTGGGTTGCTTGCCTTTATAAACCAGCCTGAGAGCCGGTAGTTCTTGTCTTGTTCCGAGTCGAAATAAAGTACGAGAGCTGAAATCGCTAGTAAGTTTCAGTACTTTTCACACCCCGAGTTCAGCAGTGCTCCTGTACCGTTGGCCACTCTGTTGTGCTCTTATGCTTGTTTTTCTCGCTTAAGGAAACCTCTTTCTCACCCTCTTTTCAGGTTTTACTTCATCGACTGGCAAACTTCCAGCGAGTCTGGAGTTTGCCACCGAGTGAGACCACCGGGAAAGAAGTAACAGCCCTTGCGTGGCGGCCAGATGGCAAAAGTAAGGTGCAACGGCGGATGCTTTATGGCGGGGGTCCCCAGCATGGTCCTTGTGGGTGCCCGCCGACACCTTTCTTGGTGCGCATCAAGTGTTTTTGGGAATTGGGTGGGGCCAGTTGGGGCTCTGGCCCCACCTGGGCTTGTGATTGGCTGTTGAAGCCCAGATCAGTTCTGCAGATTAAAGCAACCGTATTTCAGTGGCAGCTGCCCCCACAGGGTTTGTTTTCTTCTCTCTCACACCTCTTTCCCAGTGCGTGTTTCTAATTACCCCTCTTCTTGTCCCCTGCACGTGGGCTCCCTCTCTGAGGCTACATTCACACGGGCGATTTGATCCGTTTCCCTGGCTGTTCCCTTCTGGATTTAAAGGGCACGACCAGACAGCAACATCTGTCCGCCGTGCCCCAGTCGTCTGAGTTCCATTCCCCACTCCCCTTGCCCCGTGTTTCTTTGATACCTGATAAAGTCCGGTCCTGCTGGTCTGAGCCACTTCAAAAATGGATTACCTGTCGTCTGGTCACTCTGTTGCGCAGCCAAGCCGTCAGGCGGGTCTCCCTGAGCTCTCGCTTTCCAGCCGCCATTCCCCCCCTCTAGTTAGCAAGGATCGCATGACTGTATACGGGGCTTTTTTTGTAGAAAAAGCCCAGCAGGCACTCATTAGCATAACTGGCCACCCCCAACAGCAGAAACACATTAGCATATTAGGCCACACCCCTGACAGCACAGCTCATTGTCATATGAGGCCACACCCCCATGTTACCAGAAGTGTGGTCATCCAGCCACACCCACCTTTTGCTTCTTATTCTCTACCTTGTTTGTTGTCAAAACCCAGGGCTTTTTTTGTAGCAGGAACTCCTTTGCATGTTAGGCCACACACCCCGAATGTAGCCAATCCTAATGAGTTTCTGCTGTTGGGTGTGGCCTATTATGCTAATGAGTTCCTGCTGGGCGTGGCCAACTTGGGAGCCAGCCGGAACTCCGTTCCTGTGCGTTCCTGCCCAAAAATAGCCCTGACTGTATATACGCTCCCCCCCCCCTTTGGGGCTGCTCAAAACCTTGTTTTCTTTTGACAAACTCTCAAAGAAAGACACCCCTGTTCTGCGGCTTTTTAATATTGTTTGGGGGAGGGGTAAATGGAAAAGATTAGAGGGAGGATGGCAGTGGACTCCATTTCCCAGCAGTCTCTTCACTGCTTCTGCGATTGCTCTGTGGGCTTAATTTAAAAAGAAAATGGCCGCCAGCCCCATGAACTGGGGGTGCTTCTGAGTGCTTCTGGGCATGGTCCTAAGGGCAAACTTCTAAAAAAAATGGCCGACAGGCTGACTCCCTGGTTTCTGACATCTGGCCATGCAAGGAGGGGTGAAACGGCATTGAAGCGTGCTAAAACGGGTGAGTCTGGTTAGGATTCTCTGCCACAAAATAACCTGGCTTGAGGCGGGGCAACAGTAGATTAAACTGCCCATCTGATCGGACTCTGAGTGTGGCTCTGCCTCTCGTGACAGCCATTTTGCGGTTGGCCCCGCCTCCCATGGCAGCCATTTTGTGGTTGCGCCCACTGCCCTGCTTGAGAATGCCGAAGGTGCCCACAGGCCCAAAAAGGTTGGGGTCCACTGCTTGGTGCTATGATTTCAGACAATAAATGAAGTAAGGCTGTGATCACACGCACCAGAAGATCCGACATAGGCGCGAATGCCCAACGGATCAAAAGGGCGCGATCAGACAGCAAGATATGGGAAGCGTCCCGCAGCCGTCAGCAACCCGTGCTGCGCCACCGCAGAAGTGGAGTCAAAAGACACCGGAGAAAATCCAGTAGTAAACAGGTTGCGACAGGCCACGGACGGACTTTCCCCTGTCTGGTCACTCAAGCACACTCGTGTCCCATCGGGATGTTCTGATCAGGCCATCCCGACTCCGTGCTGTTGTTCCTCCCCCCTGCTTTGCAGTATGTGCATCATCGCAAACTCCATAGGGAGCCCCCTGACTCACCCACGGTTGTGTCTGATCACACAGTGACGGGCCGCGCCCGCAGCAAGTAAGGGCTGTGTGATCTCGCAACCGTGGGTCAAATCCCTCTGGAGGGAATAGCCTCGCTTCCCCTCCGCTTCAACTGGCGCGTGTGACCGCAACCTAATACTCCTATCTTATTTTCATCCCATTTTCCCTTTAAGGAGCTCAAGACTGCATACGTGAGGCTCCATTGCTTTCTTTCATGTTCACAACAGTCTTGGTCAGCAGGTTTAGCTAAGAGTGGCTGGTCCAGAGTCATCCAGACCATTGTGATAGACTTGAACTCAGGTCTCCCCCAAATCCCGTTCCCTGACTGCTGCACCTCACTGACTCTTTCACAAGAATGCTCAGCCCTTTGAAAACGTAGCTCTGTCTGCCGCATAAAGAGTGGCAGGTGCTGGATTTGGTTTACGACCAAGATTATGTTTAAAACTAAAATGTGATTGCTCTATTTAACTTTTTTGGTTGCTTGGCGTATAAGAAAGGTGCTTCGGCTTGTGTGCTGCACGCTTCATCGGGTTGCTGCTCTTTCTGCAGTTCTGGCTTTTGGACTCGCCGATACGAAGAGAGTTATCCTGTGCGACGTGGAGAAGCCGGAAAGCCTGCACTCCTTCTCCGTGGATGCGCCAATCACTTACATGCACTGGATGGAAGTAACAGAAGAAAGCAGGTAAGCGTTGGCATCCGCTCTCCAGTGAGCTTGTGGGTAGCTACTCGCCTGTTCTAAGGTTTATAAGATTATGCATGGGATAGAGCAGGTAGGGAAAGATTATGCATGGGAAAGAGCAGGTAGAGAAAGAGGTACTTTTCGCGCTTTCTCACAATACAAGAACTCGTGGGCACTCCATGAAATTGCTGAGCGGTCGGGTTAGAACGGATAAAAGGAAGTACTTCTTCACCCAAAGAGTGATTAACACATGGAATTCACTGCCACAGGAAGTGGTGGCGGCTACAAGCATGGACGGCTTCAAAAGGGAATTAGATAAGCATATGGAGCAGAGGTCCATCAGTGGCTATTAGCCACAAGGTATAGATAGGGATTCTGGTGCAAGTGATGCTCTTGGGGGGGTCAACGATGGGAGGGCTTCTAATGTCCTGGCCCCACTGCTGGACCTCCTGATGGCACTGGTATTTCTGGCCACTGTGTGACACAGAGTGTTGGACTGGATGGGCCATTGGCCTGATCCAACATTGGCATCTCTTATGTTCTTATGTTCTCTGTGGTAACAATTGTCTCCAGGCCGTGGATGCAGAGAAGCTCTTCTAAACTGAAAGTTTACGTGTATTTTGAAGCTCCCACCGCAGTTCTGGAAAGTTGGGAAAGGAGTCTGTAAGCCGCTCCGAGACTCCTTTGGGTAGTGAAGGGCAGGGTATAAATCCAATCTCCTCCTCCTCCTCTTCTTTCTCTTCTTCCTCTTCTTCTACTTCTTCTGACATTTATATCCCGCCGTTCCTTGTGGCTGAAGTCGGCTTGCCAGAACAGTTAAGAACGTTTTCCGTTTAAAACCAAAAATAGACTGGCAAATCCCAGATCCCCCCCCCCCGACTCAAACCCCCAAAAGATGCCTGCCGTTGAAATCCCCCTCAAAATCCCCTGGCAGACAGGTAGGCCGTGCAGTACCTTTTGCAGATCTCCAAGGTGGGGCCCCCTCTCACCTCTTCAGGGAGCCCAATCCATAGAGATGGAGGAACGATGGGAAAAGCCCGGGCTCTGGTCGATGCCAGATAGGCCACCCTAAGTCGTGGGATAGCCAGCAGATGGCTGCCTAAGGACCGTAGTTGGCGCCCTGGGACATGTGGGAGGAGACAGTCCCAGGTGGCGAATGGCTTTGAAGGTCATAACCAGCACCTTGAAATGAACTCAGAAACAGACGGGCAGTCCGGTGTAGTGCTTAAGAGCGGCAGACTCTGATCTGGGGGAACCGGGTTTGATTCTCCACTCCTCCACATGCAGCTGTTGGTGTGACCTTGGGTCAGTCACAAGTTATCTCGGAGCTGTTCTCTCAAGAGCAGTCCTCGAAAGAGCTCCCTCAGCCCTACCTACCTCAAAGGTGTCCGTTGTGGGCAGGGGGAGGGAAAGGAGATCGCAAGCCACTCTGAGACTCAGAGTGAAGGGTGGGGTATAAATCCAACCTCCTCCTCTTCTCTTCAGCCAGTGTAGTCGGAAGGTCCCCCCTCTTGGGCCTTCTCTTTCCATCAGTGCCTTTTCCAAAGTTCTCTATTGCTCTCCAGTTCTGAAAGAACACCAGAGCTCAAGATCCCAGCTGAGGGACCGGACGTGACAGAAATGGCATCCTGTTGGTTTATTTACTTCATTTGTACCCTTGCTTGCCTCCCTGGTGAGGACCGGAAGTGGCTTAGATTGCACGCCTCTCCTCTGTTTTCACCCTTAACATAACCCTGGGAAGTAGGTGGGTCTACGAGTGTGGGACTCGTCCAAGGTGGCCAGAGCCGGGGCTTCCGCCTGGGCCCCCTCGAGAAAGAGAAGAAGAAGAGATTGGATTTATACCCCGCCCTTCACTACCCAAAGGAGTCTCAGAGCGGCTTACAGACTCCTTTCCCTTCCCCTCCCCACAACAGACACCCTGTGAGGTAGGTGGGGCTGAGAGAGCTCTGACAGAAACGGCTCTTTTTCAAGGACAGCTCTTGTCAGAACTACGGCTTGCCCAAGGTCATCCAGCAGGTGCATGTGGAGGAGTGGGGATTCAAACCCGGTTCTCCCAGATTAGAGTCCGCGCACTTCACCACGACACCAGACTGACTTCGTCTGACACTCTAATTTCTGAAACAGCACTGTGAATGGTCCCACCTCTGCCAGTCTCACAAGCAGTGCTGGAAATGGTCTCTTGTCACTGAGTAATGCTGCAGTTTACATTTAATGTTTGCATTTAAGTCATCGTGAAGAAGATGATGATAACTGAAGGCACTATTAAATATAATAAAGCACTATCCACATTCTGGGGGGGGAAACACCCTGATATCCTTTCTTAAATGGAAAGAAGAAGAAGAGATTGGATTTATACTCCGCCCTTCACTACCCAGAGGAGTCTCAGAACGACTTACAAACTCCTTTCCCTTCCTCTTCCCACAACAGACTTCCTGTGAGGTAGGTGGGGCTGAGAGAGCTCTGACAGAAACGGCTCTTTTTCAAGAATAGCTGTGCCAGAACTATGGCTTGCCCAAGGTCATCCAGCAAGGGGCAAGTGGAGGAGTGGGGAATCAAACCTGGTTCTCCCAGATTAGAGTCTGCGCACATAACCACTACACCAAACTAGCTCTCATTGGATTTATACCCCACCCTTCACTACCCAAAGGAGTCTCAGAGCAGCTTACAAACTCCTTTCCCTCCCCCTCCCCACAACAGACACCCTGTGAAGTAGGTGGGGCTGAGAGAACTCTTGACAGAAACTGCGAAACTGCTCTTTATCAAGAACAGCTCTGACAGAACTATGGCTTGCCCAAGTGTACAAGTGGAGGAGTGGGGAATCAAACCCGGTTCTCCCAGATTAGAGTCCACGAACTTAACCACGACACCAAACTGGCTCTGGGGGGTGTCCCCCCCCAGGATGTAGATGGTGCTTTGACCCTGAATATAGTTATTCTGTTAAAATACATACTTGTCTTCTCAGGAAACAAAGCCATAACCTTGGCGACACTCTGTTTTTAATTTCAGTGTTCTTGCTTCGTGTTTTAATGCTGAGGATGAATCCAACCTCCTCCTTCCTAAACTGCCTGCACTGCCAAAGAAGTGAGTGTTAAGATCCTTAATGTTATCACGTGGGTCACAGCAGGGCCTTCTCTGTGGAGGCCCCTAGACTCTAGAAGAAACACCGGAAGGAAAACTATTGGTTTTAATAGACTTTGGGCATTTGCAGTGCTAGATGTGGTGGAGGTTCAGGATATAGTTTTATTGGTTGTTGGTGTTTTTTTAAATAGTATTTAGGAAGCTACCAAGCGATAGAAGTGGAAAGAATGTATGTTTTTAAAATTAATATGTTTTGGCTGTTTTCTTGGCCACAAACAGAGCAGACTAATGGTAGTTGGATATCCTCCGGGCTGTCTTCTCTACTTCCCAGGAGTACCACGTAGTGGGGAATGCTTTTGTGCATTGAGCCGATGTCTTTTGATAGTCTCTGGGCTCTTTTACCTTAATTACCAGTTATTCTTGGGTGTCTTGTTCATTTTAGACAGCTTTAAAAGGGGATTAGATAGATTCATGGAGGATAAGTCTGTCAATGGCTATAAGCAGCCATGGTGACTGAGGGGAACCTCTGCATTAAGAGGCACTAATCCTGTGAATCTCAGAGCCAGGAGGCAACCTCAGGGGAAGGCCTTGGCCTCTATGCCCTGTTGTTGACCCTTCAGAGGAACTGGGTGGCCACTGTGTGAGAGACAGGATGCGGGACTAGACGGACCCTTACTGGTCTGATCCAGCAGGGCTCTTCTGATGTTCATTTATAGGTAATATTACGGAATGTGCTTCTTTTCTTTTCTCTTTTTAAACACAGCTTCAGTGCTACCGCAAAAATTTTCAGGTAATGCGTTTTCTGCTTTTATCTTGCTTGGGCTTTGAGAACAAACACAATTCTTGCTGTTGATTTTTTAAATAAAATATGTGTGTATACATATATATGTGCGCGTGTGTGTGTATATATATTTATATATTTATGTGTTTATATTCTTTTTAGTGAAGAAAAATCAGATGAAATTATGAAGCTCATGGGTGATGTCAGGTAGGTAGCTTGTTTAATGAAGTTTGATTTGTTTTAAAGTTAAACTTTGAGCAAATAAAGGCAAGGAGATATGTTCAAGGTAGCTGAAGTCTGTAAGGACTACTGTGAGTTTTGGTTGATTAATAGAAAAGAGCAAGAGTCCAGTAGCACCTGAAAGACACAAAATTTGTGGCTGGGCATGGGGTTTCACGAGTCATTGCTCACTCTCTATGGGAGAGGTTTGCAACTTATGGGAAGCATTTTTCCAGGTTTTGCTGTGCTATTGTAATAGCAAACAGGGGAAAAATTCAATTCCTTTTCCTTCTAACCATGACTGCCATGACTGATAGCTCTTGAACTGCAAGTTACCTTGTGCTTTCTTCAGAATTTAAAAATGCACACACCCAACTCGTTGACAGCCCTAGCTAGGCAGTTCAAAACATTTAGAATCTTTGCTGTTGCTGGAGAAACCTTTTCTCATTGATGCCTTATTTTGGGCTGTTGAGATTGTACCCTTGAGTTGGTTCACGTGGCTGTGTGGTGCTGTGTCACATCCTTCCCGAGGCCGGTACCCCTGAAAACAACTGTGCTTTCCCAGTCCTGGTACAGAGTATCATGTTTTCCTCATTCTGGCTCTGTTCTCTCTGGAGTAAATGTGGGGACAACCTTGGCCAGAACTCCGTGATGTAGACCAGGGGTGGCCAAACTTGCTCAGGGTAAGGGTTAGGGTTAGAGCCACATAGAATAAAGGGTTAGAGCCACATAGAATAAACATCAGATGTTTGAGAGCTGCAAGATATGAACAAATATCACCCACACATTTTTATTTAAAATATGCAAATGTGCTTTTTATTAACGTTAAATGAGCCTGCCAAAAATAAAAACAGAAGGGGTAGAAACATATTGATAGTGATATTTATGTGTCCAATGATATTTGTTTGCTAATGATATGTATTTGTCTAAGAGAGAGAGAGAAAAAGAGAGGTGGAAAGAAAGCATGAAAGACGTGGAAAGAAAGAGAGAGAGCCAGAGAACCAAGAAAGCAAGTAGATGGGAGGGAGGGGGTTGGAAGAGAGGGAGGGAGGGAGAGAAAGTATGCTTCCCCTTTGCTTTCCCAGCTACCCCTTCGAGAGCCGCACAATATGTGTGAAAGAGCCGCATGCGGCGCCCGAGCCGCAGTTTGGCCACCCCTGATGTAGACAGGCAATACTAAGCTGGATAGGTATGATGCCTCCTCTCTGCTTCTAGTGAGCTTAGCTTTCTGGAATCAAGCTAGGGCCACCAGAAAAGAGGACAGGTAAAGTGACACCATGATGGGGTGGATCCAACCAGCTTTTTTGCTGATGAAAAAGGGAGGGAGGGTCTTCTCTGACCACCCGGAAAGTTTATGTGGGGGACCATGGTACACGAAAGCCGTATGATATGGGGAGCTGGGTGAGATGTGAGTGGAAAAGGTGGCTGAATCCCACCCACTGACTTATAGCCTAGTTGGCATTCACTCCTATAGGGGAAATTAAAATGCTACATTTTGGCACTTAAGGTACCGTTCGGATTAGGTGCCCGTCCCTTGTTTTCGGGCATTTCACAACTGAGTACAGAGGGGGGAAAGAAGTACGAGGCCTATGCCACTGAAGGGCCCCGTAAATATGCACTTCTTTGTCCAGTAGACCTACTGTTTTTAAAAAAGGATAGGAATGTGTTCTCAAAATATTTCAGAGAGTGTCTGAAACAGATACGGCAAGGGTGTCTGTGGCGTCCTGCTTATTGGGGAGACTGTTTCTCCTTTAAAACACACTCAGTGTACGTGAACTTAGTAGATTTCTGCTGCCACCAGGAATTAAACATTCCAAATCTCTCTATTTTGGTAGAATGACCCAGTGTCTGGGCGCTTCAGAGGACTATGTGGCCCTGAGGAAGGACTGTACTGATTGCTGGGATAAGTTTAAACAAATAATGATTTATTTATAAAAGCACAAAATAAGTTTCTGGGTATTTTTAAGCTGATGTTGAAGAAGGAAAATATAACTGACAAAGCTTGGTGTCACACACAATCTCTCAAACACCAAAACTTAACTCTGACAGGCTTAGACACTCAGTCTAAACTCTCTTTCTCATAACCACACAGGCTAAACTCTCTTTCTCATAACCACACAGGCTAAACTCTCTTTCTCATAACCACACAGCACAGGCTAAACTCTCTTGCTCATATAGCCACACAGGCTAAACTCTCTTGCTCATATAGCCACACAGGCTAAACTCCAACTGCTTCCTCTGTCATACAGACTCCCCGAAAAACCTCCACACTTGTCTCGTCAAGAACACAGAATCACCTCAGAGACATCTCTCCTCCCACACTCTCAGTCATTAGCCCATCACATCACACTTATCTCCCTCTATCACTCTTCTCATATTACTGCAGTCACACTAAACATTTAAAGAAACATACACACCAAAACAAGACGTCATTACAGTGTCGAACTCATTTGTTACGAGGGCCGGATCTGACACAAATGTTACTTGGCTGGGCCATGTGTGCCATAAAATGTAATGCCAGGTACCAGAGATATAAACGGTATAAAGGGCAGCAGCTGGCAAACTCCAAGTTAGTGTATCTTCACTGCAAGGCCTCATGGGCTGGTGGGGGGGGGATTATGAAGGAAAACCCATATGGGCAGACTGGAGAGCCAGGGTACATGACTAGGCAGATGTTCCCACGCTGCTTGACTGCTACAGGCGAGGTTGTTCTGCTATGCTGAAGCCACAATCCAAGTGGCTCCACCCATTCCCCCTGAGCAGTCTCTCCCTTGCACTAGTTGCTTGTGAGCCGCATAAGAGCCCAGGACGGGCTAGTTCTGGTTCCCAGGCCTTATGTTTGACATCCCTGAGATATGGGGTTCCTTGGCAAAGAAGGACAGACAGAGATTTCAGGCATTGCCAGTAAACTTTGTGCAGAGGGCTGCTTTGTTTCTCTGCGGTGCACCCATTTCTGTGGTGGCTTCCACACGGGAATAAGATTGCTCAGTTTCCCGGTTGCTACTGCAGAAACAGCACAGTAGGCACAGGGCTTTCACATAACAGGTTTCCATGCGTTTCCCCTGCTCCAGTGCCTCAGCACCTGCCATTCTTCTCCCCACACCACTGTGGGCTTTTCAGGTTTTTTTAAAAAAATGATAATCGAATGTCATTATAACGATGAGTCTATCAGATCCTCCAAATTTCCTTTCATTTGTCTAAAAGTGTCTAACCCTTTTCCTTGCAGATATAAGGGGAAAGGCATATCTCTGTAACGAAAGGCAATAGACTATAAAAAGTGGTATATGTTAATGTTAATATAATGTGTCACCTACTTCATAGGTAAGCACACTGATCAGTTTCTTTTTGTGGTTTTTATTTAGGCTGAATGCTCTGGTTCTTGGGAGCAACTCTGGCTTTATTGAGATTTATGCTTATGGGATGTATAAGATTGCCACAGTAACTGGGGTATGTCGGTCTTTAATTACCATGTTTCAGTACCATGTCCTCCTCTAAGAGATTTTCAGTGCACCCTTTTTTATTTTACCTTTGTGCTTAATACCCAGTTAACAGGAAGCCTGAGATTTTGAAGGGCATTATTCAGTCTTGCAGAAGCAAAACACAGAGAACTCTTTGGCTGTTAGAAGTTTCGTAGTGACATGTCAAAAATGTCTAAAGGAGCAGAGACTGAGCTTCCGGGGAGGGCGGGATAGAAATGCGAATAATAAATAAATAAATAAATAAATAAGGGACCTCCTTTCCCCCTGGTTGGGACTTCTGTTTCTTAAGAGCTGTGTGGCTGGCATAATGCAACAGTTCTCCCTGTCGCTGGGTCTCTCTGCTCAGGGAAGCTATTGCTGTTTTCCCAATCACTGTGTTTCTAGAGGCACAGAAACCGTGACAAAATGGAAAGCCGGCATCTCATTGATGCACACCATCTTATATCCTGCAAATTTTTATACAAATCTCATTTGTTTGCTCATGGCCCCAGTCACACGGAGAATTGGCCACGTGAAAGGCATGAATGCTGGGCAGATTTTCGGGGCGCGATCACACCACAACATCTGGCAAGCATAGCGCACCCGTGGGCAACCTGTGGCGTGTCGCAGAAGATGCACAGTTAAAGTACCTGTAAAGATCTACTAGCAAATGGTTTCCTACGGGCTGCAGACAGACTCGTTCGGTGTGATTGCACCGGCGCTCCGCCGGCGCTCTGATCGCATAATGGCAGATCAGAATGCGATGGCGCAAATAGCCACGCCTCCCCCCCCATGTTTTCCGGCACATGTGGCCAGGGCCCATGATGAGCTATGGCTTACTGTTTTAAACACAATTTACTATACATCCACACTAGAGTCTCCTTGCTGAGATCAGGAAAAAAAATATAACAGTAAATGAGCACAAAATGATCTCTTTGTAATTACTGTGGGGGGAAAGTGAGGCTTATTTTTTTTCCCCAAAACTTTTTCCTCGGGCTCCTCCAGGTGGCTGGTTCTTGTCTCGCCTTATGTCTCTCGAGTGACTTGAAATCGTTATCTGTTATTACGAAAGTCGAAGCGTCTCCAGAGAGCGAGCCGGAAATAACATACTTCCAGGTGAGTAGAGTTGGTGGAACAACCCACAGTGATGGTTTTTGGAAGCCCATGTTGTCATTTCATCCCCTGCAGTGAGCGTGTCGGATTGTTTCTAAGCCACAGTTACAATTTGATGGTGATAAAATTACTACCATCAGCCTATTGGTTCTGAACAGCTGTACGAAGAGCCATAGCAATTGAGAGAAATTTGGCGACAGCCACAGGGACGATTTTTATTTGTTTACTGTATGTATAACTCACCATTCTGCCCAGTGGGGATTTAGAGTGGCTTACGTCGTTCTCCTGTCCTGTGAGGTAGGCGAGGCTGAGAGTGTGACTGGCCCAAGGTCACCCAGCAAGCTTCATGATGGCAGGAGTGGGGATTCGAAGCTGGGTTTCTCAGATCCTAGTCTGGCCCTTTAACCATTTACACCATGACGGCTCATTTTGTATAAGACGGGCTGTAAGGCTGCCTTCTGTCTCCTCTTAAGAGACTGAGCGACAAATGAGTGCCGAGTTCAGATTTCGTCTCTCCCGTGAGCTCTTTAGGTGGCAATCGACAAACCCACTGTCTCTCGTGCCCATGTAACCAGCCACACAGTTCCTCCAATGAAAGGGCTGTTATGTCTGTAGGAAAGGGGGTAACAGTTTCCACTGACCTGGAATGAAATTCCAGGGCTCCATGGGTTGCTGCAGGAGGGGGAAACGGGAAAATCCTTCCTTGGGAAATCTGTGGATGATTGGATGCATGCCATTGGTTTAATTTAGCTATCATGATGAATCACGGGCAGTGGCTAGAAAAGCTCTCTAATGGCTGCCACCACTCTGGTATGGGTCTCCTCGGGAGGGCCCAGAGCACCCACCCGACCCCTTTATACACTCCTTTTCCAACAGGTTTCCCCTTATAAGTGACTAAATGAGGCGTGAAGACCCAGGCAGAGTAACAAACTAGTTTTATTAAAGAGATTTAATAACAACTGTAATTCAATAACATGTAGGAAAAATGAGCACGGTAAAGGTAGGTAAACCAGCAAAATAAGAATCATAGAATCATAGAAGGTTAGAGTTGGAAGGGACCTTGCAGGTCATCTAGTCCAACCCCCTGCACTCTGCAGGAGTATACTGAAAGATACCTACAACATACCTGAAAGATGGTCATCCAGCCTCCACTTGAAAACGTCCAGCGAAGGAGCATCCACCACCTCCCGAGGTAGACTATTCCACTCTTACAGTTAGGAAGTTTCTCCTTTAGCCGGTAACGACTCCCTTGTACTTTCCACCCATTAGATCTAGTCTTGCAATCCTAACGCGTCTGACTGTACTGTACCTAGCCTTCTCTAGGTATTTGGCTTCCAGCTGATACACCCCTTTTGGATGAGGGATCCCACCATAGGGGTCCCAAATCCCCCGGGGGCGGAATTCCCCCCGGTTTCGAGCCCCGATTCCCGCTCCCGCAGAATCGGGGCCCGGGGGAAACCCCACCCCCGCGCGTGCGTCACCCGGAAGTGACGTCACATGCTGGGGGCGGGGCGACGCCATTTGAAAACTCTTTGTTTTCCCCTCAAATGGCGTCGCTCCCCCCCAGCGTGTGACGTCACTTCCGGGTGATGCACGCGGGGCGCACGCGCGCGCACGAAGAGGACGCCAGTCGGGAGCTCCCCGCTCCCGGCAAAAAGTGAGTTGGCAACCCTATCCCACCATCTGTAACAGCTTCACACCAGCTCTGCTCCCTAGGAGTGAACCACCTCCCACTTTGGGCAAGGCCTTTTATCACTTCTTTCCAGGCCACGCCCTCTACTATTCTATTGGTTTAAATTTTCCTTCCAAATCCCCCGTTAGCCAATCACAGGGTCCAAAGGGTGACCTGGGAAATGTAGGCCCTGACAGCTACTCTAGTACAGGCTTCCCTGAAGCCTGTAGGCCGCACTAGTATAGGCCTAGGACCATGACACCGTGTTATAACAAATCTGCAGCGATCAAAACATCCTGAGGCAATGTATTCTTCCCATTAATTATACTCTCCAACTTGCTATCTGTTTCCTTTGATCCTGAGCTTCAGCCGTGTAAGAGGGAGAATTTTTTTAAAAAAGCTTTTGGCACCGCTCTCAATGTTACGAGATCCCTTTGTGTTGTCTTTCTGTTCCCTCAGATGTAATCTCCAACCTCTTTTCTTCTGAAGGATGATGCTCCAACCCCTTTTTTCCACTCCCCTTTGAGTAGATTTTTATGCTTACAAACTGTCGTTCATCCCTTCCAAAAGACCGGCTGACAAATTGGGAAGCCTGTCATTTGCTGGCAGGATACCAGATAGATTTTAAAAGCTCAACGCGTGATAAAAGAGCACAATTAAGTAAAGAGCACAATTAAAGAGTGATAAACGAAGCCCCGGGTTAAAATATCTCTGTATCGTACTGCCTTGCTAGATGAATTTTTGGATGTCCTCCAGGGATGTGATCGAAAGAGTCTTGAGAAAGTGCTTCTTGAAACTGGGAGACCTGGGTTTGAATCCCCACGCATGCCATGTCTCGGCCTAGCCTACCTCACAGGGTTGCTGTGAGGATAAAGGGGAGAGAACGGTGTAAGCTGCCTTGGGTCTATGCCAGGGAGAAAGGCGGTGTACAGATGAGGTAAATTCAAGAATTTAATTTAAACGCAGGTGAAATCCTGATAGAAAGATAAGAAAATGTCAAGATGCACGTGTCTGCTTCCCTGCTGATGCTTGTGTCGTACATACGTTTGGCCTTTTGTTGTAGTTCGACACCAGTCTGCTCTCAACATATTTGCCTGAAGTGACTCGAATGGCTCGGAAATTCACACACATTTCAACTCTCCTGCAGGTACGGCCTTGAAATATCTTCTTCCTGGTGGTGGTGGGATGTTGTTCCATTTCTGAACGGGCTTTTCACAGTCTGTGCCACAAATTCTTCCTTTCCCCCTTGCCTGTAACCATGTTCTTATAATTGAATGTATTCTGGTGCAAACTAAAGTCACTGCAAGCTAGGGTTCCCCCTGTAACCCAGGCTTGAAGCTGGTTTGCCGTTCCTTGTTGAAAGGAAATCTTGGTTGGCGCCAGTATCCGTGAAATGATAGAACATGGCAGACACTTAGAAGAATCCTAGTGGGCCACCAAAGATCTGTTTAATCCAAATACATATCAGTGAAGTCACTAGACAAAGTCACTACTGTTTGCCCCACAACAAAGTGAAGAGAAGGGGAATATGCAGGGCTATTTTTGGGAAGGAACGCACAGGAATGGAGTTCCGGCTGGCTCCCGAGTTGGCCACGCCCAGCAGGAACTCATTAGCATAATAGGCCACACCCAACAGCAGAAACTCATTAGGATTGGCTACATTAGGGGTGTGTGGCCTAACAGGCAAAGGAGTTCCTTCTACAAAAAAAGCCCTGGGTTTTGACAACAAAGAAGGTAAACAGAATAAGAAGCAAAAGGTGGGTGTGGCTGGATGACCACACTTCTGGGAACATGTGGGTGTGGCCTAATGTGCTAATGAGCTGTGCTGTCAGGGGTGTGGCCCAATATGCTAATGATTTTCTGCTGTTGGGTGTGGCCTGTTATGCTAATGAGTTCCTGCTGGGCTTTTTCTACAGAAAGAGTCCTGGGAATATGTACTAGTGGGAAACAAGGAGTGATATAAATCTGCAGCTCACTGCTGCTTTCTTCTCCCTGGTTAAGAGCAGGGGGGGTTATATTTGCCCTGGTCTGTTACTTATCGAGAATGCCACATCTGTATTTAAGTCCACTGGTGTTCTGGAATAAATTACTGTCTTATTGCAGTTCTAAGCATACCTGCGTGAAAGTAAATCCCATTAAGAAGGGGTTGTAAAGTCACTTTAAGTCCCTTGCTAATGTAATTCATACTTTAAGAGTGAGGAATTATTTCCCCCCCAAGGGCAATCTTGCTGCCTTCCAGTAAGTTTATAATACATTTACATGGCTTTGAAGATGTGCTTGTAACTTTTGTGCACCGGTGTGTGTGTTTTTACTGGGGTGCAAAAAAAAAAAGTATTAAAAGGCCAATTTAATCATAATTTCAGAATACTTTCTGTAAATTGCTTATGGGGGGAAAGGGCTGAATTGCTTACTTTTTCTGTGTAGTATATCAAGCTGTCGTTGACGTGTATGTGTGAAGCTTGGGAAGAAATACTCATGCAGATGGATTCACGGCTAACTAAATTTGTACAGGTATGGGGGGGGAACCTTGGACAAGTTGTACAATCACTATTTTAATAGTTGTGGTGTTTCTTTCCTGGGTTAAAGAATGAAAGTGGGCCGCTGGCCTAGTTGTAGACAAAGGGGCCATTTTACACTTGCGGCTTCCGAGAGGGTAATGGAGCATTAATGTACCTACGTCCTATCCTTAGGATCATCCAAAGGGCTGAAAGAACAGGAAGTGAAGAGAAAACAGACTGGCTTCCTTTGATTCTCACCACCAAACCCTTTGGCAGGGAAAAAGGAACTTCAGTAGATCCCTGGGGAACCTTTCTGTGCAGAAGCCCTAATGCGACACCCCTTTCCCCCTCCCACAGCGTGCCTACCACCCTCTACACCTCTCTCCCTCACAGGTTGAGGGCACACATAGGTCAGGCGCCACACGTTGCTCCCTTCTTGTCCTCTTCTAAAAATTTGTAGAAAGCCGTGGCCGTTTCGCACCTCAGGCCCTTCCTCTCTCCTTCTTTCTCTCTCAGGGACATCAGCAGACAGGGTAGCCCAGCCGCATTTAACAACAGGTCCTCATTCAAACACTTCACTGAGTTATTGGGGTTGGGGGCTCATACACTGTTCTGTGCACACACCACCAGGGCTATTTCTGGGCAGGAACGCACAGGAATGGAGTTCCGGCTGGCTCCCAAGTTGGCCACGCCCAGCAGGAACTCATTAGCATAATAGGCCACACCCAACAGCAGGAACTCATTAGGATTGGCTACATTAGGGGTGTGTGGCCTAACATGCAAAGGAGTTCCTGCTACAAAAAAAGGCCCTGGGTTTTGACAACAAACAAGGTAAACAGAATAAGAAGCAAAAGGTGGGTGTGGCTGGATGACCACACTTCTGGTAACATGGGGGTGCGGCCTAATATGCTAATAAGCTGTGCTGTCAGGGGTGTGGCCTAATATGCTACTGAGTTCCTGCTGTTGGGTGTGGCCTATTATGCTAATGAGTTCCTGCTGAACTTTGTCTACAAAAAAGCCGTGCACACCGCCACCATTTATTCATATCCTCAAACATATATAAACTGAGATCTTAACTGGTGTGTGTGGGAGGGGGATATGTGTTTCCCTGAGACACACAGCCTACAGGTTTAAATCAACTGGGAGTTAATTTTTATATATAGTTTGAACATGACATTAAAGAAAGTAGCACCTTCTGAATTTGTTTTTATTATTCTAATTTTTTTTTACCGTTTTCCTGTCTTAACGTGTCATAATGCCATTGGGCCTGTAAGCCGCCCTGAGCTTGCTCTGGCGGGGAGGGCAGGGTATGAATTAAATAAGTAAATAATAAAGCAAGCTAGGTGTTAACAACATTCCATTTCTAATTGACTTTTTGAATTGTTTCTCTGTTCCCACAGTTGATATCCTTAGTTATAGATTGCCTCTTTTCAGGCAGCTCTTAGCAGCTGTTCTCCACAATTTCCCTCAGCCAAACACACCCTCAGCCAAACTCTCTTGCTGCCAACTCCCAACTGCTCGCTTACCTGCTCTTTTCCATCTGTCTCTCTAACATTCCATCCGCTTTCATTGGTCACTCCTAGGGAGAGGTGGAACCTAACCCGTCCATCGTACCTAGCCTTTACCATTTCCAGTTCAAAGTTTTGGGGTAGCAGATCTGAAAGAAATCTCTGAGATTTGCAGAGTCTCTGCCAGTTGGTGTTGTGGTGGGTGGAGCTCTGCTTGTATATCCCAGAGTTCCACTTTATTTTGTGGTGCAGGGAGAAATGGGGAGCTAAAAGCAGTAATGGCTTCTCAGTGAGCCACTCCAGTGGGGAAAGCACATGGTGGATCCGGGACCTCATGTACTTGCCCTGGACCTGGGTCTGCTGCTCTCTGTGCCATTTTTACACTGATCCAATTCAAAGTGTGGTAGCACTGAAATGACCAGAACGCTGCATATCCTCTAAGGCCCTCCGACACGACTGCATGCCTCTTGGCAAACTATTTTATTTATTGGTTATATGGGGTCAGGAAGCAGTTTTTCCCCAGGCCAGTTTGGCTGGAGATCCTGGAGGTTTTTTTGTCATCTTCTGGGCGTGGAACAGCGGTCATTGCGGGTGTGGAGGGGGAGGTATTTGCGAATTTCCTGCATTGTGCAGGGGTTGGACTAGATTACCCCAGTGGTCCCTTCCAACTCCATGATTCTATGATTCTATGTCTGTTCAGTCAAATAGTAGCTTCCACCCACTGTGTTTGGATTGGTCCCGTTTTTAATACTGGCCTTATGGTGTAGTTTTAGTTTGTTGTCTTGTTGTTCTCAGCGGCTTGGCTCCACCAGCATTCTCTACCGATGGAAGGGCTTCTATCAGTGGAGTCTAACTCCTTTGCAGCCACCCTTCCTGCCATAGTGCCAGATGCCCATCAGATGGCAGCTCCCAGGCAAAGCGTAAAAGGGTATTTGATCGATTGATTGATTCAGTTTTATACCCTGGCCTCCCTGGCACGGCAGGCACAGGGTGGCTTACAAACATATCATAAAAATACAGTTAAAACCTTCCAAAAACATATAAACATATAGATAACAATCATTTAAAATATGCCTAAAACGCTGAAACATGATGAGTAAACAAGAACAGAGTTATTTTTAATATAGCTTAGGTGACCGTATGATTGCAGTACTTTCACACTAGCTCAGTACGCTCACTTATTGTGCGGCAAGCACAGGCTGGATATAACTATGGTAAAGCCAGGGTATAGGGACACTCCTTGGTGTATAATGTGGCTCCTTAGTCAAACGCCTGGTGGAAGAGCTCCGTCTTGCGGGCCCTGTGGAACTGTAAAAGGTCCCGCAGGGCTCTGATCTCTTCCGGGAGCTCATTCCACCAGAAGGCCCTGGCCCTGGTTGTTGCCAGCCTAGCATTCTTGGGGCATGGATGGGCCCAACTGGTTTTGCGTCCCTGAATGCAGTGCTCTCTGGGGAACACGTGGGGAAAGGTGGTCCCTCAGGTATGCCACAGGAGTGGGTATATGGCAACTCTTCCCCTTGCACAGGTGGGAGTAATTAGGATCCAACAGGATTGAGGTTGTGAGCCAACCTGAAAGGCAGTGAAGCTGAAAGATGGGGTTGAATTTTTAAAAAATAAATGTGTTGATGCCGGTGATTTCCGATTTATAGGAGAAGAACACCACTACATCTGTGCAAGATGAATTCATGCAATTATTGTTGTGGGGCAAAGCAAGGTAAGCGTCCTAAAGGACCCTCTTTTTGCCAGGCTCGCTTTCCTTCAGACAGAAAAAAAGAGACTCCTTCATTGACTGTTTTTCCTCCCTAGCCTTGAACTTCAGGGTCTGCTAATGAGTCAGTTAACAGTGAAGGTACACTTTTTTCTTGGGAAATTTTTCTTCTGGTATGCTTTGGAATCTACAGCAGTCAGAACATTATTATCTTCCAACAGGGCTTAAAAAAACTCGGCCAGTCCATGGAGTCCTCCTATTCCAGTATCCAGAAGCTTGTCATAAGTCATCTGCAGAGGTAAGTCTTAGGAAGTGTGTTCAGGTGCAACAACAGCCCATGTGATGGGAGTGGTTAGAGCAGGGGTGTCGAACTCATTTGTTAGGAGGGCCATATCTGACATAAATGAGACCTTGTTGGGCCGGGCCATGTGTGACATAAAAGGTAATGCCAGGTAGCAGAGACATTAGCTCTTTAAGCTTAAAACTACTTTTGATTTTTTGACATTCACCACAGAAATCTCATGCTCAGAGTTCTGAGTCTAGGACCCAGGTTAAAACATGAAATGGCTGAGTGATTAAGATGCCCTGGCGAAGCAAGCGATGGTGCATCAGCCCAGCTGGAAGCAGAAGACAGCCAGTTCCACTGCGGGCCTGATGGAAACCCTCCAGGGGCCTAATCCGGCCCCCGGGCCGCATGTTTGACACCCTTGGGTTAGAGTGTGGAGATCCAGATTCCGTCTCCAGCATGGCAGTTTGCTGGATTACCTTTGGCCAGTAACGCACTCTCAGCCTAACCTAGAGTCATAGAGCTGGAAGGGGCCATTTAAGTCCAGCCCCCTGCGGAATGCAGGATCAGCTTAAAGCATCCCTGACGAGTGTTCGTCTACCTGCTGCTTGAAGACTGCCAGTGTCTGCCTCACAGAGAGCCAGTTTGGTGAAATGGTTAGGAGTGTGGACCAGTGTTCCCTCTAAGCTGAGTTAGTGTGAGCTAGCTCACAGTTTTTTAGCCTCCGGCTCACACATTTTTGCTTTAGCTCAGGAAGGATGGCTCCAGAGCAAACTAATTTATGCAGTAGCCAAGTAGCTCGCTCACAATTTTAATGCCAGCAGCTCACAAAGTAGAATTTTTGTTCACAAAAGTCCACAGCTTAGAGGGAGCATTGGTGTGGACACTAATCTGGGAGAACTGGGTTTGATTCCCCACTCCTCCACATGCAGCTGCTGGTGTGACCTTGGGTCAGTCACAAGTTCTCTCAGAGCTGTTCTCTCAAGGGCAGTCCTTGAAAGAGCTCTCAGCCCCACCTACCTCACGTCTGTTGTGGGGAGGGGAAGGGAAAGGAGATTGTAAGTCGCTCTGAGACTCCTTTGGGTAGTGAAAGGCGGGGTATAAATCCAATCTCTTCTCTTCTTCTTGTTCTGAGGATAAAATGGAGGAGGTCCATATCCGGCCAAAAGTGGAGTATGTGATATGTTAAAAAAAGAGAAAGGTTTCAGCTGTAACAAAATATAGACAATAACAAACATTTATTTTTAATGTATGGTTATAGATATGAAACAAGCATTCTTCCTCATACTGCATAAGGAGGAAAAATACTTTGGCTCCCCAGATTGTCCAGGGAGCTCCTGGGTTAGGCTGAGTCATTGAATAAGTGTCTAGTTATGCAAAAGTTAAGAACATAAGAGAAGCCATGTTGGATCAGGCCAGTGGCCCATTCAGTCCAGCACTCTGTATCACACAGTGGCCAAAACTCAGGTGCCATCGAGTTCTTGTATTGTGAGAAAGGGAGGAAAGTATTTCTCTTTCTGCCTTCTCCATCCCATGCACAATTTTGTAAACCTCTGTCATGTCACCCCTCAGTCATTGCTTCTCCAAGCTAAGGAGCTCTAACCTCTTGGACCTTTTTCATGTTTTCTTTTAAAAAATATAGCCCACCAAGCATAGCACCATGGAGCATTCAGGATAGCTAACGACACAATAAAGTGTCAATCAAAACAGTATAAAAATAATCACTTATAAACTGCAGATTGGCAAGAGCAGAGCAAGGCGTTTAAAACAACAACAACCACCAGGCAGTTTCCCGACAAAGCTTCACAGCTTTCTGCCTGCTATCCCAAAAAGGCCCACTGAAGATAACCAAGCTAGCCTGTTCCTGAGCAAACGTCGCTCTAGCAAAGGTGGAACTGAAAGCAGACTTTCTGTAGTTGCTCTCAGGGGATTTGAATGGGGGCTGAAGCAGAAGAACCTGCTGCCTAAGTTATACTGTCCCAGGCAGGGCTCTTTTTGTAGCCGGAACTCCTTTGCATATTAGGCGACACACTCCTAATGTAGCCGATCCTCCAAGAGCTTACAGTAGCCCCTGTAAGAAGAGCTCTGTAAGCTCTTGGAGGATTGGCTACATTAGGGGTGTGTGGCCTAATATGCAAAGGAGTTCCTGCTACAAAAAGAGCCCTCCCAGGGCTTCACAAGTGAAAAGCCACACCTTGAATTGTGCTCAGGAGCTAGTGCATATCTTTAGCCACGATGTGCTTCCAATGTGCTCACTTCAAACGATTTCCAAGCGGCTGTATTCTGAAATGATAGAAGTTCCTGAACAGTCTTCAAAGGCAGCCCCAAAAAGAGCAATGTACAGTAGTCTAGCCATATAGGTTTGCAAGGATCGCTAGCTACCCTTTTCTAGGACCAGTTTCAGCTGGTGCACCAAACTCAAGTTGGTAAAAGGGACTCCTGTTCACAGTTGTTGCCTCAGATTGCAGAGGTAGTGCCGGATCCCCAGTGCTGTGCATGTGACCCTTCAAGCAGGAACTGCAGCTCTGTTCAGAACAGGGGACTTGCTGATTCTCAGGTTAATCGGATCTTCTTCCATCTACAGTCTTAGTCTTGTCTGAATTGAGTTTTACGGTGCCATCCTAAGCGGAGTTACATCCTTCTAAGCCCTTTGACTTCAGTGGACTTTGGAGGGGTTAACTCTGCTTAAGACTGCATTGTGAGGATGTTAATCTCCATCACTGGCCCCAGGTATCTGTCCAGGTTATCTCCTGCCTTACTGGGTTGTGATAAAAAGGATAAACAGAGCTGAATGTTAAAGGTAGATTGATGACCTCTGACCCAGAAAGCCTGACCCACTGGTTTTGGGTGGATGCTACAGGCGTAGGAGACAAGATAGAAAACTGTTAGATCCTTTAGTATAAATTCTGTGGGCAAGGAAGCCACCTTGTAGGTCCACTTCCTACCTGACAGGTGCAGGACTGGAGCCCCTGCAAAGCCATCCCTCCAATCCACCCGGTAATCAAGTAGGTTGACGCCATGTTTGGATCATATTGAACCAGGATAATCAACAGGATCCCACTCGCGTTTGTCTTCTGGCATTGGTCCTACGCCAGGGTGACCGAGACCATTTCAGCCACAAAAGAGACCTGTAACTAGATTGATAATGGATCAAGGGCACGATCCAGTGGAAAGCTTTCCTGCACAAGCGTCACCAAAATACAGCTAAACCTAAAGAACTTTCTGTTTAATTCTGCTAGAAAGTATTTCATTTTCTGAGTAGTGCTGGAGAAATAATGACCCCAATCATGAGAAATAATGTGCACAAGACCACTTCCATTTATATGGGGGGCGGGTGTTGATCCAAGGATATATCTGTCTGGGCAAAGCTAATTCCTCTAGGGATATGAATGGGGAAACTTGCATGTTGGGGTGGGAATTCTGTGCGTGTGTCAGAGTGCACATAAATATTTTGTGGTGTGCTGTGCAACTAACGCTAAGTCTTTCACACTTTGTTCTTTAAAGTACATTTAGTATTTCCCCCCCATCTAGCAGAATGCTGCATCCTTCATGAAACACTTTTACTGCCTTGCTTTGACAGCGGCTCTGAGGCCTTGTTGCACCATTTAAGCGAGTTGAAAGGAATGGCATCGTGGAAACAAAAATATGAGTCTCTGGGACTGGATGTGACGGGAATCGAAGGTACGCTCGCTGGCTCGCTGGCTCGAAGATGGATCGCAACTTTGGCTGGCTCTAAATTAATGTCGGCTCTCTTTGCAGAAGCGATTACCGCCGTGGGCTCCTTCATCCTGAAGGCAAACGAGCTGCTTCAGTATGTATGATTCAAGGATGTTATGTGCAGAGGAGCGCATGCCCTCTTGTTCAGTTGCCGCGTTTGTCCAGCTTGGCATGATATAGGCGTGGTCTTCAGTTGCCTGCAGTCTAGATGTATTTTCTGCTGCTCGTTCCCATGTTTTACAGTTATACTTTTCTAAGACCATGGAAGGGCGTAACTCTGCCTAGGGCTATGGAACGTCTTGCCTACTGATAGCTGGTGCAGTAGGGTTGCCAAGTATTACCTCGATCCGGAGCAGGAGACTCCTGGTTCGCTCCCGGAGCGCGCGCGCCGCATCCACGTCACACAAAATAGAGTTTTCCCACCATAGAGTTTTCCCTCAGATGGTCATGGCCCCGCCCCCAACGTGCCCCGCGTGATCGCGTCACTTCCTGGTGATGTGCACGTCGGGGTGGAGCTCCCCCCGGGACCCGATCCGACAGCGGTGGGGAACGGGCCTCTGGGGCAGGGTTTTCCCCGCCCCCCGGGGGGGACTTGGCAAGCCTATGGTGCGGCCTGGTGGCCAAGAGTGCAGACTTGAAAGCTCAGTCACGGATTCGCTAAGTGACATTAGGACAAGCCGCAGTTTTCCCAGCCAACGCTCTCTGCCCACAATATGCGGAGTAATGCTACTCTCTGTTTCGAGGGGGTACTTGAATATCTTATAAGAAGTGCACTGAATCTCCAAAGCACTGCAATAAAGGAACATTTTTCAGAACATGATGTAGAATTGTTCCTGCACATTAGGCCCTGTGCCTGCAATATCTGTACCACAGCATAGCATCTCTGTCCCTACGTTACTTGCACGGGTGCCAGGAATGATGCAGGGGTCAAGGACCCTTTAAAGACGGAGCTGGCCCTCTGGTACCCTGGTGCGCAGAAAGGCCTTTTGGCCCTTTTGCTGCTCTTTTGCTTAGTGGGAAAGTTCCTGGGGAGTCCCTGGTGGCCAGGAGTGGGAAGAGCCAAGCCACTTCCGCAGGGGCTGTTTGGTTCATATCTGTCAGCAGAGAATGATTGATGGTGGATCACCTATCGCCCACTGGTGGCAGTCTGGGAGGGAGCAGTGGATGAACTTGATGCCCATTGGCATGGCTGGCCAGGTCTGAGCTAGGTGGCTCCTGTGGGGCTGCCAGCTTGGCTTACTCCCGGGCCATTTCAACCTCCTTGTTTGTTTCTTTCTTTCTTTTTAAAATTCCTGTTGTTCCACAATTATAACTGACTCAGCCACAGGTGAAGCGAACACAGATTTTTAGGAACCTCTTTAGTATACTTCCCCCCCCCTGAAATGCAAGTAAACACACCTATAAATCCTCCCCTAATAATCATTTAGTCCAACCCCCTGTACTAGGGATGGGCACGAACGGACTGATGAACTAAAGTTTGTCACGAATTTTGGGCAGTTCGTAGTTCACGAAGCTATGTTCACAAATGTCTATGCATTTTGATGCAGTTCATGGTGGCTTGTGGTGGTTTCTGAGGAGCAGAAAGCAGTGTTCTACCCCTGCTTTTTGCTCTTCATGAAAAACAGCTGAGCACCCGGCTGTTTAGAAACCCCTGCTTTCTGCTCCCTGTGAAAAGCCATGGGGAACAGGAAGTAGGGGTTTAAATTTTAAATTGCTCATAAGTCAATATGAACCAGGTCGGTTCGTGAACCAACTTCCCAGTACATATGGGAACCACGAACCGAACTGCAGAAATGTGGTTCATGCCCATCCCTATCTAGCACAATGCAGGAAAAAACCCCCCACTCCCCTAGTGACCCCTGCTGTATGTCCAGGGGAAGGCAAAACACCTCCAGGATCCCTGGGCCAATTTGGCCTGGAGGAAAATTCCTTCCTGACCCCACAGTGGCAATCAGCATTACCCTTAACATATAAGAAAGGGCCATGAGAACCAAGCACTAACTCATCCCTTCCTGCCCTCCCTCTCATGAACTTCCTAAATACATAGTGGCTAGTTACGAGAACCCTGACCCAAATCGTCACATTGGGGAAATTTAAATTGGTTCACTTTGTATGGACTGTTTGAAATATTTGGAATATTTACATCGGTTCACATCATATAGACTGTCAAATATTGGTTGGTGTCCCCGTCTTAAGAGAAGAAGATGGTTGATATAATCCAGCTATTTCCAAAACTGGACAATTTTTTTGTAATGAGTGTGATTATTTTTGGTCTTTCATGCTTAGGTAATTTCATCTTCTAAGTTACTTTTGAATAGGTGTTTGGTAGATACATGATAAGCTTTTCATATTAAATAGTATTTTTATATTTCATAGAATGTTAGCGTTGGAAGGGACGCTGCAGGTCATCTAGTCCAACCCCCTGCACTCTGCATTTTGATCTAGTAATTTTGTCATGGTCGATCTGTTTGGCCTTTATAACCTAAATTCCGATGAAGCCTGTTCCACCGAGGAACGGCTCTAACTGTGAGGAAGTTCTTCCTAAAGTTTAGCCGAAAACTCTTTTGATACAATTTCAATCTGTTGGTTCTGGTCTGACTTTCTGGGGCAGCAGAAAATAATTCCGTTCCACCCTCTATATGACAGCCCTTCAAATATTTGAAGACAGTTATCATATCACCTTTCAATTGTCTCATCTCCAGGCTAAACACACCCAGCTCCTTTTACCTTTCATCCTAGCAGGGGTCATTTCGT